TACTGAATACTCTAGGAACTGGACTTCAGTTTCCGAATCCCTAGGTGATAAAGAAGTAGAAGTCATTATGATTTCGGTTAGGCAAGCTTGAAAGCCCATAAATAGTAATGGTAAAGATTTACTGGGTGGAGCAAACGAAACAAACGTTTGGTCCTCGGAATTAGATATAATTGAAGTAGCTTGTTTAATATAATGAATATTCGAATATTTTGGGCCTAATAGAGAAAGATTTTTTCTCTGCATAAAGCTGCTTGACTTGACTCAGCTTGGTTACAGAGGAATCACCAAACACTGGTTTCTTAGTCTGCCTCAAATAAGACTCAAATAAAAGAATCTAAAGCTCCATTTGAACCACTGTCGTTGGGTAGGTCGGGCACATTGTAAACTAAGTTCTCCTGTCTTATATATTGTAGAAATTTGATCTACTTCATTATTAGTACTATTATAATAATAGACTCTATCGTGAAATTTACATCAATGTCTATTCTGACCTGTCATATCGTAAAAATCCGCGATATAACGATTGGAGTTTGTAAAGAACACATCTAGGCCAAAGATAGAATAGTATATTTATTGTGAGTAGAGACAAGTTACACAGAACCACCACATCTGAAAGGCTGAGCCGTGCGTTCTGAATGAATTCAGTCGAATGAAATATTCACACCTTCACGAATGTTGGCCTTCACTCCGTGTTAAATCTATAATATCTATTTTCTCACTTATCTCATGTTCAGCTTTGAAGATTGTATGGTTAGGACCGATACCACTGCAACACCACATACATTCCTTAAGAAAATTGAGCAACTCAATTCCGAACTATCCGTCGCTCTATTATGTAATCCTGCATGAGCTGACAAATAAGTGCTAATTCTAAACGCTTGAACTTAAGGTACAAGGGTTGTAGTAAACAGTTTTAAAGAATTACGAGGCCTAAATACGAGATAAACAATCGATGCTCCATCACTCTTCATAAGAGGGCGAAGTCTAATGTTCGACACTTGCCCTGAAAGTCGGAAGGAGTACTTGGTATATAGCTTGACATTACCTTATTTACATCCCTAATTACGTATATGTTTATGTTTCTTAGTCTTTCATGAAAAAAGCCACCCATATACTGAACAGTTTCTTCATCACACCTAAGTAAAGCATGTACATTGGATCTAAAGAAAAAGTTAGGATCATATTAATGCCAAGCGTTCCAAATTTGGAATGGTCTTGATGGTAAGTGGATTAAATTTACTGACGAAAACTATCATCAATTCTCAATGTGTATTCACCATTTGGAAAGGCTATCTGTCCGTCAAGGCGATGTTCCACTACGACAAGCCTAACTCAACCTGCACTCCCATTGTTACTAACAGTGTATCTAAACTCTGAACGAGCAGGCACGTCACATATTACAGTTACCAGTTTGAGAGCTATGTATTTGTTTAACATAACATTGAGCAGAGCTACGTCTCTCAATTATTTTAGCCCAGAAATGGTGTCCGCGGATATGTCGTTGGATTCTGCCAGTTTAGTGTTCCTTCCACAGACAGCTATCATGAACACGTCAATAAACCTAGGGACAACGACGCATCCTACTATAAACTACAAATTTTGGCTGGAGCTCTTTGAAATAAAAATCCCACCTACAATAATGTGCGAATTCAATGTATCTAAATCACAAGAATAGAAATAAGGTTCGACATTTATTAGCCAACTGGTTTTCAAACCGAGACGGTAGTAAAGCTTTCGGAAGGCGATTGAAATCTTAGATCGTCCGACGGCAATTTGTCATAAAATTCATCAAAGCCACGTTGACCCGTTCTCTCCTGTTTAAGGAAGTTTGTGAACACAAGTATACGTCATTACATCCTATAAGAAGTGAATGAACGGGTTCACTTTTTTTCGAGCACCGTTATCATCCAGTGGCCTTTCATTGTTGTGGTTACCGGAGGCTAGCACAGTTGACAGATTCTCATTACAATTAAATTCAGTGTTGACTGCAAATAATCCGACATAGATCACAGATAAAGACAATCACCGTTGATCGTGCTTTTATCAGTAACTTGACTAAACGAAGGCCGACTATGTTTTTTCATGGTGGTTCGTATTTTGTTCCACCTTCGATTGTATATCGATCTGTAATAACCAAGGACGCTTCGCATATTCACTGTTTCCCTATGTCTGGGAACAATCTCAAGGACTGTTACTGCGTTCATCTTAAAGGACAAGCAGGGAAATTGGTGATAATGCAGACAAACACAGAGAGTGCATCACTTACCTGAATGTCGTAAGCTATTTGTGATTGCCACCAGGGATGTCCGAACAATCTGGCCAAGTAAACATCATCTCAGGAAATTTCCTGGGTCTCCATATTTAGAAATGTTTTAATGGTAAGTGCTCTCATTTGTCACTAAACAATGTTATTTTGTAGAGGTTTATGAAAAAGTTGGAAGGAATTCTGGATGGTGTGGAAAATTTCACGTACCTGGTTAACAGCACCATCTCTGAAGAATGATGTGAAGGCAAGGATTAGCAAAGCAACGACGGCGTTCCACATCATAACATACGTGTTAGGTCCCGATAAGCATAATAAATGGTAACTTTTAGGATCCATTTATGGACCAATACTATGCGTATATTTTTATTGTATAATTGCTAAATGACTAAACTATACATATTTATATCCCTATTATTATGAGCTTTATTTTGACCTATGAACTATTATTATACGATCTACCATTCTTGAATTATGCCCTGTCTATTAATTACTACCTCCCACACCCACATTTGGTTAATTCTTGTACAAATGTTGTTTTCTATTTTATGGTACGGTGTGGTCTGTTTGATTGGTATATAAACCAAGTATGCTTGAAATAAATTATTGATATTGCAGAGGCTGAGACTGGTGTTCTGGACTTAACTGGCTGAGCTAGACACGAAGCAGGATAAATCAGGACTCTAGACTGCTCGTACGGGTTTTACGCGTCATTGGTCCGGTCGATAATTCACTGCTGTCTAATCGGCGGTATACATTAACAGGGCACACAGGCCACAAGTTATAACAATATGGATTCAAAGCAACTGTCAATCAACATCAAAGTTAGTATCTTCAAAGCGAACATCAAGACGGTTCTACTGTTTGGAACTGCATTTTAGAGAACTGCTACAGCTGTCACCGGAAATTTACAAGTGTTTATAATCAATCATTTATGCAGGATACTTTGTCCGTTGGCCGGATACTACAAAGAACACCTCAATACGTCAAAGAATAAACCAGCTTCCAGCTGAAATTAAATGTTGGAGGTGGATAGGACGTATACTGCATAAACCATCAAACTGCACCCCGAGGCAAGCGCCAACTCGGATTTTTTAAGGGAAATGAAAAGAGTAACAATTAACATACTGCGTTGGGAATTGAAAGCAGACATCAAGATAATGAATAAAACAGGGTAACCCAGAACAAAGTACGATGGAGAATCCTGATGAGAGGCCTACACTCCTCCGCGAGGAGTAACAAAGATAATTATCATACTATTTGAAATCAGTTAATTGTCGACAACCCTCCAAAATCGATAGGACGTAGTTTCTTAACTCAGGAAGAGACTTGACGAGATTAAATGCTGAGGTCCCCACTTCACTTATTTAACCGGAAGGTATTGTGAAATGTCACAAACGCCTCCCCCATCGGAATTCATTACAACTCCGTCCGAAGCTACTGCAGGTCTCAAGCCCGGATAAAGAAGGGGTGGGCATAGGGTCAGCGACCCCATCCCGGAGAAAAATAACTAGCCAAAAAATGCTAACCAGAAAAAAATCACCCAAACCACTTAAACTCTGCCCTGGAAGTATAAAGGGTTATGACGTCACATGATGGAAGTCGAGTTCCTTCGGAAGTCACGAGGCTGATGTCCCATCTGATAACCAGAGCAACCATTTATTTAGGTACATGGAATGTCTGTACAATTCGGGAGACCGGGAACGTCTTTCGAATCGCTACATAAATGAAAAGATATAACCCGGAAGTGCTCGGAATCAGTGAGACACACTGGACGCAGGTCGGACAGCTCCAGGGGAGCTGCTGTTGTACTCCGGCCATGAAGTAAAAATGTTCCACATACACGAGGACTTTCACTGATACTATGCAAAATAACACAAGAAGCACTTATAGGATGGGAATCTTATGGACCAAGGATCATCAAAGCCTCCTTCAAAACAAAGAAAGAGGGCATTGCAATGAACGTTATCCAATGCCATACGCCTACCAACGACTACAATGAAGACGTTAAAGATTAATCCGACGATAGGCTGCAGTCAAATGTTGAGAAATACCCAACAAAGAACTGGACCGTTCTGATGGGAGACCTAAATGCCAAGGTTGAAATGGACAACATAGGATATGAAGACATAGACTCGGAGAAACAAACGAAAATGGTGAGATTTGCAAGTTTACGTGCATTCAATAAACTGGTCATAGGCGGCACTATATTTCCACATAAACGTATGCACAAAGCCTTATGGACTTCACTGGATCATACTACACAGAACCGAACTAACCATAGGACACACATTGAGGAAAGCACCCAACGACGTCATAAGGCAAGCTTTCACTCGGAATCCTCAAGGCCAAAGTAGAAGAGAAAGACAAAAGGACACATTACGCCAAGAAATGGAGACAGACATGAGAAAAATGAACATAAATTGGACAGAGGTAGAAAGGAAGGCCCAGGATAGAGTGGGTTGGCGAATGGTGGTCGGCGGCCTATGCTCTATTGGAAGTAACAGGCGTGAGTTCGTAGTCTCACAGAAAATATATATAAAGGTGAAAACATAGGTTTGTGACAAATCCCAATAAAACTTACAGGAGTAAAACATTGTATCTCAACCACTTAAATTGTGAACGCTGACAAAACGAAATAGCACTTGGACTAGTTCATCGTAAGCTATAATTTACATACCATTCTAGAATAAATAATCAGACAAAACAAGTATATTTTAGTAAGAGCTAACTTTATAGGTTTAAAATATGTATTTGTTTTACAAGATTAGATGGACTATCAGGTTTCAAAAACACAGTATTTCGTGTACATAAATCTATTTGAGCAAGAGCTGATTCAATTTGTTCCTGTACAGATGAATCCTTTTCAATGATTCGACGTGTTGACAATAGCCTATGAAGGTCACGAATCACATCAGATGGAATCCAGGCAGGTAATTCGGTGGTACTAATTTCTGATAAGAATAAAGAGCGTGCTAAATATGCTGAAGCTTTACGAACTAAATTTGATACATCTTGAGATAGATGAAATTCGATCAACAAAAAAATCTGTAAGGATAGAATAAAATAGAAATACTAGGAAAAAAGAAACCAGGAGAAACTGTAAAAACCATTCAGTATTTCTTATCTGAATAAACATTCAACGTATTCATGCGACAACCATCAGCAATTATAGTTACTCATTTCATTGATACATAAAGCTAAAGTAGAGGAATAGAAAAAGTGAATAAGCAAATGTCACGTCCAAACATTCCTAAGTAAATAACTGGATTATTAGTCCTTTTTACTCAAAATAAAGAAGAGAAACAGGTTCGTGGCTAGTGCAGATGACTTTTGACTAAAAAGACTAAGATAAAACGCAAACTTTGTATATTTGTACACTAACTTGAATGGCTTTCGGAATGAGAATGCAAACAGATCAGCAGTTCAATCATTGAACACATGGTTAACTCCGGTCATATGCCACCACGAGAATTGTGCTTCAAGATTATCTATATAGTTACAAGAACTAGCTCGAAAGAGATTTGAATTAGCAATTTGTGCACAGCTGAGGCTATAAAACATTTCGTCATTTCGAATCAAACCTCTTTGTACAAAAGTTACGTTCAATCCCTTGTTTTTCCATGGTCATAGCTTCCATCCAATTTTAAAAACTATAAATGTTAATTATTATCTTCTTTACAATATAGGCAGTTGTCTTTTTCATTTATTGTATAGATTATTATTTACTAATACATATGACACCGTTACATAACTTAATTTCTTCGTAATCTTTGATCACTTTATTAAATGATTCAGCCTCCATTTCATTCAATACTTGGAAACCTTCAATAACTTTAGTTACTTCGAAATAATCCTTTCACTTATAAGCTATTCCATTCAATAATTGACATCATTTTGTAGTCTTTGACTTCACTACATTATGCAGGAACACATAATTTTTATAAACTTTTACATTTGATCCCTGAACACATTTAGCTATCTATGGTCATCCTGTAATATTTTAACAGCTGGAGTTAGACATTAACAGCGTTTGATGCCGAGTCAGTAGTTTAGAGGTTGGGCATTCGCGCGAGACTGAGAGTCATGGGTTAGAGTCCCGAGTGCGGGATCGTGGATGTGAACTACTGATGAGCCTCATACTACGATGAAACGACCGTCCACTGCTTCCAGGTTTTCTATGGTAGTCTAGCTTAGATCCACTCGTGAAATCAAATGTTAAAATACTACCATCTCCACAAGTCCTCATACTGATAATTTTGTAATACACCTCTATTTTATTATGAATCACAAAAAGTAGAAAGTTACCTAGAAATACGATTATACAGCTCAAGAAAACAACATCGTCGAAAAATATTTTTTCTTCGCCGAAACGCTTTCATTTTTTAATAAAAGAATTACAAAATATCTCAAAAGTAATAATAACAACTTTTTAATGTTAAACTTAGTGAAAACAGTCTGTGATAAAATATCAAGAGCTTTCATCAAGTTGAGTGTTCCAATGAGGAGGTTTCCCACTATACACCCTAATTAGGATATTGAATCAAAGTTACACTACAGGAAATTAATTATACAGTTGATAGTATCATAATTGTTGAAAAATCTGAAAATCACGTTCATCTGATTTCTGAGGTCGTGTAAGAGCGAAACAGGTGTACATGAACTTATGGTTTATTGAATTGATGTTAAGCTGGTGATTACAATAATCTTCTTAGAGATCGGAAAAACATACTTACATTCGAATTTTCACCAAAGAACGATGAACTGTTTTAGAATAAACAAGGGACAACATTTTATGAGAAGGGTACAAATAACAATGATGTCATAGATAAGAAAGACAATTATGGTGTAAATGTTGACCTATTCGCATGACAAGTTAGTATGACACCAAACGGCAAGAAGCAAAAATAATTTGAAGTCGAAGTTCTATGGAGATTGTGTTATCGATACACTACTTACTTATGAATAGATAGAGGTATTCGCCACATCGAAGAAGCAATACTTTTAGAACTTTCGCTTAAATATCCATCTGCATTCATTTAAAATACTAATCACTCAATGCACAACCTATGAAGTTACGTATATTGTTCTTGTTTCACCTGGTTACAAGTGAAGTAATATCATACGATTGAATATGCTGTTTTAAAATCACTCAAATCACTGACTAGCAAAAATATTTCGATTCATAATAAGCTGATTATCAGAGATAATAAGATAGAAACCACTCACTCACCTCATAAACGATTGGTTGAACAGAATATTTTAACAATCGAACAAGCTCAGCAATATTCGAAAGACAAGCTGCTCGTATTAACTCTTCAGATGACTTAGATCCCATGACAAAAGAGTTAAATACCTCTGTTCGATACTTTGGTGCCATTTCACCTTAAAATATCAATACAAATATTAATATTATTTTCTTTTTTGAAGATTTAGCCCGAAACATATTTAATGCATCAAAGTTTATATGATGAATGGAAGACAAAAACACAGAAACACTACAGTTTGATACAATTCTGTCTTGGTTCAAATTCCAACAAGACAGTCGTGTTGAAAATTGTCAAAGATAATAATCTGGACCTTGAAGAAGTTCAGACAAGTTAGCTGGACGAAACGTTCGGATTATTTAAACTTCAATCTCTGAGATTATTTCAAATATAATTTTCACATATAATGACTTCTCAATATTCGGCGTCCAATTTCTGTCAAACTATTCGTTCTGATCTTGACGAATATTCGTATAAATCAAAGATAATAATTTGCAAAACACACATAAACAAAGTTAAATTTATTCAAAGAAAAACAAAACAATTAACCAATAATTTATAATAAATTATTTTCATAAATAACAATAAAAAGACTACCTAAATTTGACAAAACACGCATTATAGATTCAGCTAATTTCAATTTATATTCAATATCATAATCGCCAGTAGTACTAGTGACAATGGTACCAATAGAATTTGATGGTTTATTGGTAGTCTGCACGCTCTTGGTGAATTGATTTAACAGTAGATTTAATACTTTGTCCGTTAATGTACAGCCCATAGCTGATAGGCATCGAATCACATTCAAATAAATATAACTATCTGTATGTGACAAATATTTAGTTAAAACCTAGATTAACAAAATATTTGAAAAAAACAAACTGTAGAAAAATGGGAAACACAATAAACAAAAATCAAATGTAAGAATTATACGTTTTTATTTATATTTTTTATGATCATCGAGATGTGCTCATTGTTGGTTAGCTTCAAGATGAATGACTTTAACAACCAAAAAGGGGCTCCAATCGAATTACCTTAGTGGGTACAATACCAAAGGCTATAGACTTTATAACAATTTAATGAAATTTGATCTAACCAGTAAACATAACATAAAATGTATTGAAAGAACAATTAAGTTAACTGTTGGATTCTGTTTCATTTAGTTATTTAGAGCAATTGGAATAATTTATAGTCTTATAATCAACAACAGTACACTAAACAGTGCTAAAAATCACAAATAACTAAATCGTTTAATTACCAAGTCTAACACGATAAATCAAAAATAGTAAAGTTTTAGTAGTATGTGTATACACATATATATGTGAGTGCAAAAACAAGAGGGAAATTTAAAAGTGAACAGATAGTTTTAAAGGTAAGCAATAATAAATGCCAAGGTTGAGTGATTAAAACCACTCGGTTTGCAACTAACGGATTAGAGTCCCCCTCCACTTAATTAGGTCCAGATACTTGAGTAGTAGTTTCATCAAAGAAGATTTGAGAAGGGTTGAACTGTCAGAACTAACCTAAGGATAAATAGTATTTATATCTTCACTGCGTAATTGTTAGAAACTCGGATCGTTGTATTTTTATATTTTCCTACTGTAAGCTTTCGTCTTACTACTCTAGATATTTGCTTCGTTTTTGTATCACTCATGACTGAGTTGAATATATACTGTAATTTCCTATTTCCGTTGCTGTGCACTCTGGTATTTGAGGTAGATTATTGTATCAGTTTTGACTGATAGGTGAATAAAGTAAAGTAAAGAATCCATCTACGTGCTGTCTTCATCTTCCGACCAGAAGGGTACACATGGCGGTGTGTACTACTTGTACGGACAGATATAAGCAGTATTTATCAGAAATGAGAGTAGACTTCTGACGGACAGGAGAGGAAACTGAAGAGAAAGGAAACCAGGAAGCAATAGAAATAAAAACAGGAATGAAAAAACAGTGGAGTTTGTAAGGAACAACTCGCGGAAGATCGGTAAATAATCTATTTAGTGTATTGTTTTCATATTTTACAAATGCAGTGTGTGATTTCGCACAATACAATAAATCAGCTTGCTACTCAAGACTTCATTCATTACATCGTAACTGTTTACAATAACTAAGCCATTGGTTAAGAGAAGTTTGTTGTGTTATTAGACACAAAGGTCACTGATCATAAGAGAAATATGGGCGAAAAAATCGATAGTCTGACTGGATAATACAACTGCCCTCCCATAATAAATGGCGCAATTATACAGGTAACACTACAATCCAAGAACATGTTCGTCATAAAGGTACAACAAGCATTACCGAACCCCACAAAACTAATGTGGTTCAGAGTTGGTGACATAAGCCTGTACTAGGTAAACCGAACCAAATTTAAAACAACTGTAGAAAAGATGCTCCATACAAACTGAAAGATTACGGTAGGATTTATCGATCGAGTTTCTGGAATAACGTGACATAATAATGAAATTCCAAACCATCATTTTGACTTAAAAAGTGATAAGGGTCTTCAGAATTTAAATTCGGGATTTTAGAAAACCAATTTCGTTTCAAAAGATTGTATCACTTGACTTTGTATAAGTGGTTAGTGAAGGGAAAGTGTAGCTACATCAAACGATAAAGATGAAGTTTAAAGAAACTCACTTCAAATATGAGTTGTTCATGGCCCCAAATACATGAGTCTCTGGATTCCAACAACCGACTAAGCACAATCAATGCATGGCCTTGGACAGGAATCAAAGGATCATGTAACTCTTCGAAAATCCTCTTCAAAGTTGGATCCTCTAGCTGATTGCAAGCAGATTGCTGCACATCCTGGGGATTGGAGACAGTAACTTCTTCGATAATTTCTCGAGGACATTCCGATTGATGGGTTTCAGCTTTTACTTTGTCAATATTACATCTAAGGTGAATAAAAAATTCACTGTTCTACAGTAAACTGTTAACTAAAATTTTAAAAAAATCGTACTGATTTTATTAAGGTAGCACATGACTAAATCCAATTGTGAGACTAAGTGATCAACCAAGTTAACAACAGTTCTTATCCCAAGACAACAGAAACCTGATAACTATCAAAGTTCTACAGTAGATAAAATTGCATAGTTGTCTTTTCTAATGCAATTACATAGAAGCGCTATGGATTTACTATCTAAGAGAAAATTTTCAGTTTAATCAAATTCGACTGTGTTTGAATTGCTTTCATGTATTATACAAGCTTACTAACCTTTGAGGACAAAAGTAATTATTCAGAACTTACATATGCATTTCAATAGGATAAGCTTTAATGAATTAAACATAACTGGCAAATACAAGGCTCGTTTTCACCAAAGCCTGATACTAAACAAAACATACGTGTGCATACTGAAAGAAGAAATAAAGCTACCAAGTTAAATTAATCCGGTCAATACTACACAATAAGACTACATTCTACTACAATTAAACATGAAAATGAGGTTCACAAAAAGTTTCATGACATCTAACCAATAGTTTGAAAGTGACAAAGAATAAGACGATAATACAACCTTATTGATGGATTAAGAAGTATCACTTGATTTTACGCCTTACATTGCTAGAAAGTCCCATGATAAGAAACAATCAAGTGTAAGACTATTGATTGATCCAGTATGATAATCTTTCAGTTAGACATTTGATTGAATTCGGTTATCAAATATTTCTGACAATTATTTCACTCAGTTTTGATGTGTACAGAATAAAATGTGTTTAGTTCATAATTACTTACGCCTGTTACCCCTCGTGGAGCATAGGCTGCCGACCAGGAATCTCTAACCTACTCTGTCCTGGGTTTAGGTCATAGTTATTTAAATATAATAATTAATCACTGAAAAGGGTATATGTATTTAAAATGATAATTTTTTCCAAAAAGATCCATTCCTTTTAACCTAGGCCTTGTTTTCCTAATAATTGAGAGTTAAAAGTATCAGTGACATGGTGTTGGAGGATAGTCGCGGGTGCTCACCATCTCCTTAACATCACCAATCGCGTATCAAGATTCAAGTTACAATATTGGCATCAAATTCCCCCCTGATTCAAGATAAACACTTCACTGTAACACAACCTATGTTTTATAAGTATTTATTCCATATAAAGATCAGTCATTATTGTCTCTAAAAACGGAACATCTCAGGAGGTAATTTTAATTAGAATAAAACAATTGAAATTTCATCACTATCTTTGGGGAGTGAGACTGAAGTGTGAAACTGTCACGTAAGCAATAAATTTGAGAAATCATCTAAATAAATAATTAAGATCACATTTCTCGCTACAACGTATTATGAATACAATCGTAAAGTTCCTTCAAATAACTGAAATCTGGACAGAAAGCTTATCAATATAATTGTAAACAGGTTCTGCTTCGGTTTGGGCACCCGGGCAGTATCACAGCCCTCACACAAATCAATTGAGATTTGTGTGGCGCATATATATTTGGTGCCTCCCTGTACCTATACTTATGTGTTAAAATAAATAAACAGGTTCTTAATAGTGATTCTATTAGAATACTGGAACTCACTTAGTAAAATACAAATTATTTACAGACGTAGTTGAAAAAGAATCATGACAAGGAATAGCTCCACGTGTGGCTAATGTAACTTTAATACATTGTAGAAGATTTAAAGTTGAATTGCTCATTGAGTGTGATATAGAGTTGATAACAAGTTCCAACTTATTTAAAATTGGCAATAAACGACTGAATTCATCTCGAGCAGTTATTATTTCATTATCTCTAGTAGACTATGTTTAAAATGAATATACAAGAAATGAAAAATTTCAGAAGTCAATAAACAAAGGCGTGCAAAATATTGAATTCAAATATTAGTGATAAGAATTTAACAACATAAATATGTCTCATAGAAAAAGTATAGTTAGTAAGGTAATCGATATTACGTAAACAGTTCTCTGAATATTTACCACGATTATTAGTTTATTGCAGTACGATATCTTTGAATTACTACATGAAATACCCTAAAAATAAGTAATTCATGTATATGGGTGTTGTCATATTGGTGATATTTAACAACACTTTTCATTTTAATTGAGATTTATAAGGATATTCAAATGCAGCTGTGAATGTAGTTAAAGAACTCAATTTTCAATCAACGGATGATAGTTTTGAAATATTACTAGGCTTCATACAGTATGACTCAAAAAGAAGTATATAGATCTGTAATTAGAAAAACGAGCTGAAAGCATATTTGAGTGAAGTTTACAACATAGATTATAAATGCACGTAATTGGTCAAGAAACAGTTTTCATTTCTAAGGGATGAGGTATACATTATTGGTGGCTTAGTTTCCCAAGATGTTCAGGTCGAAGGCTCCGGCTGTGGCCTCCTAAGGAAACCACCTGCTTCGGTTTGGGCATCCGGGCAGTATCACAGCCCTCACACAAATCAATTGAGATTTGTGTGGCGCATATGTATTTGGTGCCTCCTTGTACCAATATCTATGTGTTAAAATAAATAAATAATAATTCCGAAGATGTGACTTGAGGCCTGTTAAATATCACGTTATTTATTCACCGGTTGAAATACGACTTATACAATATTAGCACTGTGCCAAACCAATGACGTTCGACCGGTATGAGCAGCCTAGGGTCCTTATTGGTACTCTGTCTTCCTAACCCTTCCACTTGAATTCAAAACGTTAACACCAGCTTCCACAATGCGAATCATTTATTTCAAACATACTTGGTTTATATACCAGCCAAACAAACCGCATCACATCATAAAACAGGAAATAACATTTGTACAAGATCAAGCTAAAATGTGGCTGTGATTGTGGAAGACCGTAATTAATAGACTGGGCATAACTCAATAACGGTAAATCGTATAATAATAGTCTATATGTTAAAATGAAGCTTATAATAAAAGGAATATACACATACATAATCTAGTTACTGAACAGATACACAATAGGAATACATTTATAATATTAATCCATGAATAGTTCTCAGTAGTTATCCGTAATTTAATCTTCACTAGCATATAACAGAAGGGGTATATATATATATGAGTGAACATGCAAATAATTTAGTTTAGCCAAAAGACTTCCTTTTTGATCCCCGGTCTTTTCTCTTGAAAAGTCGGATGGCTTATGTACAAGAGTGAACACTGAACGTCAAAGTGACTAATATTATAAATTAGGCGGAAAAATTCCTTGTCATATGAAGTGTTCTAAATTAAAGAAACGACGAGTGTGTTATAGACTTAATAAGAGCGTAAAATCTAAATAACAGAAATACTTACCTTAAGTTTATTAGCATAAAAGGCTAAGATTCCTAACAATTGACTTAACATTTGATATAAAAACTCCACATGTTCATGATTTTCAGCATGTTGAAGTAAACAGCAGAAACGATGGAACAATGCCTAAAATATATAAACACGAAAGAAAAAGAAAAAAACACCGAAGGCGTTTATGTGAAATAATAGTATAATCTCCATATTAGTAAACTGATTAAAACAGAATCTAGTTTCCGTGTAATAATTATTCAAAAGAATTATAATTACTGAGTGATTACATAAATGAGAAAAGGATCCAACTGTATATATTTGTTATAACTTGTGGCCTGTGTGCCCTGTTAATGTATACCGCCGATTAGACAGCAGTGAATTATCGACCGGACCAATGACGCGTAAAACCCGTACGAGCAGTCTAGAGTCCTGATTTATCCTGCTTCGTGTCTAGCTTAGCCAGTTAAGTCCAGAACACCAGTCTCAGCCTCTGCAATATCAATAATTTATTTCAAGCATACTTGGTTTATATACCAATCAAACAGACCACACCGTACCATAAAATAGAAAACAACATTTGTACAAGAATTAACCAAATGTGGGTGTGGGAGGTAGTAATTAATAGACAGGGCATAATTCAAGAATGGTAGATCGTATAATAATAGTTCATAGGTCAAAATAAAGCTCATAATAATAGGGATATAAATATGTATAGTTTAGTCATTTAGCAATTATACAATAAAAATATACGCATAGTATTGGTCCATAAATGGATCCTAAAAGTTACCATTTATTATGCTTATCGGGACATAACAATGTTCATGTACATTCTATTCACGATTAGTTGAATGGCGTTCTGGAATGGATGTAAGTAATGGTGGTGTGGATCTGTTGCCTAAAGAAAGGCTTCTCGACCTTGATTATGTGGATGACATTGTCCAACTGTGCTATGATATCCAAGCCATGCAATCCGCACTTAATCAATTGGCAATTAGTGTCCGTAGGTACGGCACGTACTTTGCGCCTTCCAAGTGCAAAGAACCTTTACATGACTAGCAGGACCCTGAACCTGCAATCATCCTGGATACTGAGCAGATAGAAGTGATCGAGAAGTTTGTGTATCTGGGTAGCTGCATAAGTGCTGGTGGTGGAGTGAGTGATGACATTAATTCACGTATAATGAAAGACAGAGGGGTTTAAGACGATCTGGGTCATCTTTGGTACCTAAGTGATATTAGTTTAGCTGCAAAAGATCGAATCTACAACGCATCTGTGAGAGCAGTTTTGCTCTATGCTTGTGGAACATTACCTCTTTGAGTTGAGGATGTTAAACGGTTCTCTGAATTTAATCACTATCGCCTGCGAAGGATTGCCAACAATATGTTCGTAATGTAGAGTCAGTCAGTCAGTTACAATGTAGGACCAGGCACATATGTGCATCGGTCCAAGTTGCCACACCTCATTAGCACAACAAAATCAACACCAAATTCATAGAAGCAATCAACTCAATGGTGTAATATATAAAGGAAAGATTGCATATAAGGATACAATACAGGAAGAAAGTTAGTTCGTAGAAAGAAAGATATGAAATAGTTTTAGTCTCATAGTTTAAGAGAAGACAGAGAGTGTATGCACCTACGCCATCGTGATCGATTCCGAGTCATGTCACCAAGAGTCTCCAACCACTGGTCATGATAGTCACGCGAACCCCAACCAAGTAGTCTGAATCTACCAACATGGCTCAGATTAGAAGTTAGTGACTTCAAGCACTGATGCCAATTTTGGTTTGGCCGCCCCTAATGTAATGTAGAGAGTCGAGAACGTGTGCTCAGACACAGTGGTGATGATTCAACTGGTGCCACCATATCGAAACCCCAACTTCAGTGGCTTAGAGATGTCTTACGAATGTCATCCCAAAAAATCCTATGTCGTGCATTATTTGCCGATGTCGGGACAGGTCGCGGAAATGTGCTCAACGACATGGTGTCGTGGTATGAAAGCCATACAGGAATGGCATTTGTTGGTCATTCATAACTATGATTGGAGTCGTAGAGGTGGTACAACACAATGGCTAGAGACGTTATCAGACATGACCCAGAATAGAAGCAAGTGGTGGTCCTGCTGTAATATTCTTCATAAAAGTGAACGTAACTTCTTTGACTGAAAGAATTCTTTCTGGTTGTATTTTTGCTAACTGACCTGTTTCACTCATACTGTAATTTCTGTTCATTGTTGTTCTTTTTCATTATACGCACTTTACACTTTTTATCTCTTTACAACCTTGTTATTGTGTGGCGCATTTGTATTTGGCGCCTCCTTGTACCGATGTTTGTGTTCAAATAAATAAACTATACACGGTAAAAACTATCCATTACAAACAGATTGAATGGAGAAAAACGGGTGTGGAAATAAAGACGTTTGTTTTTTCTTATAATAATACAAGTTATAAGACCTGTCATTAATATTAATTTAAAGTTGTTACCAACAAACTACAGATTGATAATAATAAATAATACATCCTATACATATAGACAGTCCCATTATTACATTGAAAAAGACTACAAAATACAATCAATAAGGCTAGAATTTTAGTTACTAATTAGCAAATTTCTATGCAGTAGAAGGTAAATAAGATTTCATTTCTATGTAATTAATCACTTTCTATGATGTTTAAAAGTGGACAAAATAAAATAAAATGTGATAGGTATTTAACAGATTAAACCAAAGAAGAATATTCAGATAATCTATCAAATCCTCTTAATATACTCTGTAATAATGTACCTAAAACTGTTCTTTTACAAATAAAGTTTAAAAGAAGTATATTATTAAACACGTCAAATTACCTCAAACAAATTGCAAGCTTGATTGATATTTTGAGGCCATATTAAATCATCTAAACTTTCAATCATAGCAGTAGTAATCAATGAAGAAACAGTTCCAATCTCAATGATATCTTTTTCATTCTGTGGTATAAGAACTTCATTTATTGATTTAAAAATGGCTTGGAAAGTAAAATGTATATCCTAAAGCATAAAATTAAGTAGATAATTCAACAAAACATTAATAACAGTTAGTGAAATATGACTTAACTCACATCTTAATGCGAAATTTCGACAGAATATGGAGACCAATCTTATGAAGTTAGAATGAATCATATTAAGCCAAACGACTACTATGACGTCATCAGCTAGATACACTTAGATTAGTGTTGGCAAACTAGAAAGTCAATAGATTTGTAAGCACAAGGGAATTGATACCTTATATGTTGGCAACAAATGACGCGGTTTCGATTCTCAGAAATATTGCGCTTCATATTCAAGTTACAGACAAACTACTATTTGAAATATTCCCATGATCGAAAACAATATTGTTCGCTTATATATGTTGTTCTAAACTACTATTTGTAGTGTGAGTGAGCCAATTACAACTTCGAACACCTGGTAAGTATGTACATCGGTTCAAGTTTTCATACCCGATAATTACAGGGAGATAAAGTTGTCAGGACAAATCCTAGAATAGTAGAGGTAATAAGTGCCAGTGGTAATCGGAAAGATTAATCATCGACGATATGATTTGAAGAGAAAATACAAATTCGTGGTATAAAAACAAAAATAGTTATGAGGAATCCCAGGATTCGAGGGAAGACAAATAATAGATGCACCTGAGCTAACGCATACGACTTCGAGCCATATCATTCAAACTTTCAAACTAGTAATTACGATAATCACGCGGACCCCAACCAGGTAGCCTATCAACATAGCTCAGTCGAATTGTCAGTGACTTCATAGGCTGATACCATGTTTTGATTTGAACGCCCCTAAATTTCTTCCAGCTTACTCCTGAACCAGAAAATATTGCCTGTCGAGGTAGGAGGTGGTTGAGTATACGTAACACGTGTCCAAACCACCTCAGCTGATGAAGATTTACTACCTCGCTAATTTGTTTCCCATCTTCATCTAGTAATCTATTCCTAACTTAGGCATTACTTACTTGTGATCCCAAAGTAAACGAACAATAATTCGTAAACACCTATAACTGAATACCAGTAACCTATGAATATCCTATATTCATAATGACCATGTTTCACATCCATAAAGTAGAACAGAGTGAACTGCTGTCCAGTAAACAACTTAGAGAACAGGAAATAGAGGCCACAACCCCTGTGAATATCATGAATGAATTATTACCCAAATGTACTGTGAATGCAAACTTCGCATTCAATGGCGAAATTTATAGACAAATAAACTGATGTGATGAGATGGAAGCAATGAACGGCCGTTTGGTCGTAGTATGGGACGCCTCAGCAGTGAACATTCACGGTCCCGCACACGAAACTTCAAGCCCGGACCCTCGGTCTCGTGTGAGAACGCTTAACCTCTAGGCTACTGAGCTGGCATTCGATGGTGTTAATATCTAACTTCAACTAATCCACATTATCGTGCGACCATCTTTTATTATTTTCGGTGGGTAACTACCTCACATCTGACCCAGTTAAACTAAACGATGGTCTAACATTGATCGACTCGTGATTTCAACGCAATTAACGATTTTATTTTATTTTGCAATCCTAGAGTCACACTATAATTTTTAAACAATGCGTTTCGCCTAAAAACTTGCCGCTTTTGGGATTATTAATTTGGATATATAATTGCAGAACCTGAATGGAATTTATTGAAAACAATATTAACCGTTCATTTATTTGTCTTAATATGATGGGAATTTTTCAAGGACGAGGAAATCCGCTTCCAGAAGGCATTTATTACTACTACTCGAAGATATGGCGGTTGAACTGACATAGAAGAGTCTAAGAGAGTGGATACGGTGTTCGTTGCCGCCATATTTCGTGTCATTTATACAAACAATTGCGTGATGCTAATAGAAATAAAGATAAAGTTGTGGAAACCGAAAACTTTCGTAAATACCCATAGATTTAATTGACTACGTACAAAATCTAGATAAGAAGAACGGCCAGGCAAATATAGCGTTACTTTCTCCAGCATTATCTAGCATGATAACGTAAACATGACTAAATTTAATGGTCACACAAAAGCATCTACCATTATACAGTCCCAGTGAGAAGTTCTAGGTTTCCATAGTCTTTGTTTATCAAACACAGAAAAGACAAAACTACCCAAAAGTTTCCAACCAAGTTTCATGTGGTGTTTGAATGAACTAATGACTTCTTTGTACTTGTTGAATGTTTGATTTCGAATTCTAAATACAGTACATTCGTTAGTGCTTGTGTGGTACTTCTTAATTCAATTGCGTTATCCCTGGGATTATTAGTTCATACTATAATTCAATTACTTCTAATTATCGTATTTCAGCAGAAAAAAATACTGACTTGATTTTTAACAATAATCTTGCCAGTTGTAGAGACAATAAATGCTCTTTGTATTGTGTACGTGTGCTATGAACGGTTGAAGTGTTGTTATGCCGAATATTGTCAGGTTCTGCTAGGATCGTTTACACACTCAAGTTAGTGTTCGGTTATTGCAACAGAGAATCAAAAGCAACATTATTTTATTTGAAGGTGATATTTTTGAATTATGAATGTGCCACTACCAGATCATCGAATGTCAATTGAGTTTTACTCTTTAATAGAGTGATTCTGAAAGTGTGTTTTATAACAAATTAAACAATATTCAGTAGAACTTACTGTCAATAAACTCAAAAAAAGATCTGCATGAGTAGTGATCTCGTTAATTTGATTTTTCTCACTTTGTTTTTCGTCTATCAGAATATGCAAATGATGTCCAACTTGTTCATTAGAATTATTTTGAAATGAAGATGGACTCATACAAAAAAGCAATGTGATAAGACTTTTGATACTGGAAGATAAATTCTGTATCCCATTAATAGTAGGTAATTTCTCGTTCATTATGACACAAGTATATGGTACATAGACTGAATTATGTTTTTTCATTGTAATTTCATCTAGAGATGTGGATGAAGATTCAACAGGCTGAACTTTGGATAATAATCTAAACATTAGATTTTCTTGACATGAATAAGCTGAAAGCCAATCAGTTGTACTACTCATAATTGACACTTCATGTTGTAGTTCTGATGGCATAAATTTCAAGGATGGAGCAGGTAGATTAAACCAACTACGTATTAATGACAAACGATTGAGACGAGAATTCAAGTCAGAAGATAACAGACGAGTAAGAATCCAAATTAAAAATTTTCTAAAAACGAAAAATATGGTAACTTGGTTAATGATAAAAATTTAATTTTACTTTCGTAATAATATTGTAATATAATATGCAGGAATTTCAAACTCTTGATGGCACAAAGGAAGTAGTACAGTCTAGTGATGATTTAGAGGTGGTTTCATAAAACAAAGCCGAATGATGAAACTGACTGTATTAGATGAAGTGTAAAAATGAAAGAAAAAACGATTGATTTGTAGCTGTTTATTTACTCAGTTTTAAGAAAATATAATCACTTATTATCGATACCAACTGATATGTCTAAAACCGCACAAATAAACAACTGGTATAAAGATGTTAGTTTAACCTTATGGTCAAACAATGAAGTTTAATTCTGACTAAGATATAACCGATGGTGATATGTTATGCCTTACATAAATCCAACTAAAAACCTAGAATACTTTTAGACATTTTGTTTTGCAAATAAACTAGTTGTCCACATTTTTTTATCAGGTATATAATTAAAATATTAATCGTATCTAACTGATATTATCATAACAAAACTAAATGGCATTAGATACTACAATACGGTAATTTTCATTATCATTAATGTGGCGCATATATATTTGGTGCCCCCTGTACCAATATTTATGTGTTTAAATAAATAATACAATATGGTAACCAGCTTTTTACATTATTCAATCAACGATAAGTGAACAAAGTCACATTGCCTAGACTTTAGAAACTGTTGAATCCTGCCACGTAGATTTACAGCTCCGAAAAGAAGATACGTGGCTGAAAAATACAGTCCACTATACGTGTCGGACAGTAAAAGTTAATCGACAGGAAGCTCTGGGTCAAGATATTTTGATTGTTAGTACAGTAGTAAGTGTTCTTTGTCGATTTCATTCAATGATATATAATATACGTATAATCTCTTCATTCGTTATGGAACTGACATCAGCACCCATTACATTAACACAATCACTGTCTTTGTGTTTGAAGTTAGTACTATGCAACAACAGATTCAGCTAAGAAAAGGATTGTCATTATCGGCTTTTTAGTGCATATTTCCGAAATTCAACATGCTATTCCACTTGTATCCATTACACTTAAGCGCTCATTGGGATTATAAATTAATATTTTTGAGTAGATACGATTGGTTGTTTAGATTAACACTGATAAATTTCGATAAAAGTCGTTCTTAACTTCGCTCGAAGTATAATCATGTGTGTAGAATAGTACAGAAATACTTTATGGCTGTTTAATTTACAGAATCTAACATCTCTTTAATGTAACGAATATTATTTACACCAATTTCGAAAATGTATAACCAAGAAAGCTGAATAAAAAAATAGAAATTAGTGGGCACAAAGGTTTTAAGTCCATGTGAAAGTTCCCAATATACAAAATGAAGCAAGCTAAGATAATCAACTAACTTGAGTGAATTAAAGCTCTCTGAATCATTAACGTTATCTTCATCTTCAATTGTTTGTGCAAACAACATAAATAATGGTCTAGACAATCTACATAATTCTGCTATAACAATTTGAGATGGCTCAGGACAATCCAATAGCTAACAGTTCAATAAATTGAAAAAAATCAAAATAAAGTTTGTAGGTATCAATGCCAAGGTTGCAATTGATAGTTTTGTGACTTAATATAAGCCACATCTTCAGAGTAAATAAATAACCAAGATAAAATTAACAAAAGTTTAAACAGTGCGAAGAAAACACTGAAGTCGTTGACATTGAATCATGAAACGACAGAAATACAATTTTCTGTTCGTTGGGATATAAAAAAATACTTATACTTCTTCTCGCAAAAGACTTTTGTTTAACAGCAATCGTCACAGACCTGAAAGATTGTAGTACATACACTTTTTATTTGGTCGGAAAAATCATACTCATTTACCAAATCAGTCAGCTACAACGTAGGACCAGGCACATATATACATCGGTCCAAGTTGCCACACCTCATTAGCACAACAAAATCAACACCAAATTCATAGACGCAGTTACCTCAATGACAGTAAAAAACCAACATTTCATATAAGGATATGATACAGAGAGAAGGAATTAACCCGTAGAAAGAAAGGTACAAAGTGATTTTAATCTCACGGTTTAAGTGAAAACGAAGAGTATATACACCTATACTATTGTGATCGATTCTGAGTCATGTCACACAGAGTCTTCAACCATTGGTTACGATAGCCGAACGGACCCCAACCAGGTAGTCTGCATCTATCAACATGGCTCAGATTAGAAGTTAGTGACTTCAAGGACTGATTCTGTGTTATAGTTTAGTCACCCCAAACTTTCTGACAACTGTCCCCAACACTAGTCAGCATTTACCAAGTGTACAAGTGTTTATACCTAGTGACTTTCGGATGCAGCCTTATACGAGGGATCGTAGTATCATTAACTTCTTAAACTCAAAATAGTTGGAGAGCATTCAAGGATATAACTCGGAAATCAGTATACTTATAATTTTTAAATCGATTTAATGCGAAGATTACTGATTAAAGCTTACATTACTTACAGTAAACAGCAAATACAAAAAATATACACACTGCATTCTGATACATCAAATTTCTGATCCTTAACATTAGAACTGTTAAAGGAAAATATGGCACCAATGCATAAAGTCTATTAATACTGAGTTTCAAGCTATAGAAAATTGTTTTTTAACTGACAGAAATGAAATGATAATAAGTTATCATGAATATAATTCTGACCAAATCGTCTAAATTCTACCTTCTAAAAAGCTATCAAACAATACATTTATAAACTGTAAACATCAAACTGAGTAATATCTATGTATGCAAAAATCATCATTACTGTCTGTTATCCAGAATTGACTCCCGAATACAACAACACAAACTCACATATGACAGTGCACTAACCTATGTTGAAACGGTTTACAGCGATTAGAAAAAAGAAATCAATAAAACTAATAAATATCCCAAAACTTTCTTGTCTATTTTAATAATCTTAGATAGTTTATCGAATGTAATTGAAAAATTTAAATAATCACTGGCATTTACATTGAAATATCTGACAATTGAATTTAATTCTGAAGGTAGCTTAATTCATTAGCCCCCAAATGACCTGATACGGCCAAGGGTGGGGAGAGTCTTCTCTACCTCTCAAACGGCCACGCGTACACAGCCATTGCGAGGGTTGTCTTACTCACTACCTTCTCGCAACAGGAGTGTTGTTTACGAAATTGTCGACACGAAAACAGAATGTCCGGTGCTCAACTTGGTAGGTGGGTACGGAGAATCCACATAGTGAAGTTGGTAAACCCTTATTTCAAACCCATGATGCACATGGGCTCCAGGATCCTGAGGGAACAAATGGCGTGTGAACCTATTGTTGGTTACCGGCTACCATAGAACTGCATCTCCGAACGTTGCTCTACTGATTTGTGGATTAGGCTTCTACGTCAGAGGCTCGGGGTGTGACCCCTTAATAAAACCACCTGCTTCAGTTTGGGCGGCCGGGCACTATTTCAGTCCATACACAAATTAAATAAAGAAGTGTGGTGCATATATATTTGATGGCTCCTTGTAACAATGTTTATGTATTTATTGTGAATTATTTTATTTAAAGTATAAAATGTTTTTGAAAATTATTTCAATTTACATATTATTCTATTAATTAGTTGGTTATTCTAATTATTTTCAGTACAAGGTCGTGAAGATTGTTGAATTTCATCAAAATCACGAACCTGTCCAAATGAGACAAACACTGGATGATCATTTTGCTCCATTATTTAACATTGATAATATAATAATTAAATAGTCTAATTTATAAATTATAACCAATTGTGAATAATAAAGGATAAAAACAAATACAAGTTAATAATATTTACTTACATCTTTTATAATTTGTAATAGCCGAGCTATATCATGATGTGAGGCAAGTTGACATTTTGTAGTAAAATCGAATGCCAAGGCTGACAGAGGTGAGCGCATTGAATTGATTTTTTAGAAAAGGGAAAGAAGTAATATTATTTAAAAATAAATAAAAAATGAATGTAAAGCAGCTTAGTTTACTAAAATACCCCCAACAAGAGGATAAAATATTTTATATAATACGTATTTATAGGGTAAAAAACGAATTCAGTACATTTAGCACTCAATCACTGAGGAAATCATGAATGGTCACATTTGAGTTAAAAGTATGGATATACGCTTCACTATCAAATCGACAAAGATAATCTGATAATTAATTTTACTTGAAAGGAATTAATTTTAGGTATATATGAAAAACCTTATATCAAAACAGACTAAAATTAACTCATTAAACAAGAAAATATCTTTGTATTTGACCGTCAGACACCGTTTTTTTGTGTGTGAGGGTGAGTGAAACTAATACCCTGCCTAAAACTAAGGTAGGTAGAGTGGGCTTCGAAACTCGATCCAATGGTTAAAACTCGACTTCTTCAACGCTAAACCTAGACAACTCAAGAAATCTCAGGTTTTTCATAAGATAAAACTAATAATTAATTGCTTATTCAGAAATAAATAAAGTCACTCGACACTTTTGAACACAAAACGACCATTGAAGCATTCAGCCTGAATAGTATATAACAATTAAGAGATAGAAACATCAACTTCTGATTTCTACTTTTATAACTAAAAGAATAGAAATATCTTAATTTGACAAGATATAAAGGCCTTCAGTTTGATTCCGAGTAAACATTAATGAATAGTACTGATTAGTGGTAGACTAGGACAAAGAAGTTTCCTAGCATCTGGCTCTTGATATAAAATAAATATCATCCCATTGAAAATCATTTTTAAATAAAAATAGATTCACTTTATACTAGATATATTTAAGTGAACGTTTACAAACCAGATTGTATCTCATTTTTTGGTTAATTACAACGAGAAATTCCTATTGCTATTTTGCTTCTTCAATAAAATGATTGTAGCAAATAAGTGAGAACATGAGATAGCAGATTTGTTTCAATAACTATATTCTATCTCATAATCATTCACGAAACTATATAAATGCAACAAGACTAGCAGTCTACTTGAGTATGTAGTCAGCAAGGTTTTTTGTAAGAACTGGATTCAAATGAAAAGAAAAAGTATACTGCGTGTGGCAACCATTAATATTTTAAATGTCGGTACCGAAACAACAACAAGCCGCGGTGAAATGATCAAAAAGATACTAAAGGTTTTTATGGGAATTCTGGGTGGGAATATATCTTGTTAACTCTTAATTCTTGTGCTGATTTGGGAAAATTTCAGTATCGAGGCCAGAAAATACTAAACAACAGAAGAGCGCAACACAGGGTAGGATAGAAAATGAATGCAACTGCGCTACCATAATCAGAAATGTATCATATAATTCAGCGTTTACAACAATAGGTTACGACTATTGCACGGACCCTAACAATGAACACTACCTTTCAACATGGTTTAAACCAAAAGTTTGATCTCTTGACCTATCCAAATTTACCTTATTTCCAGCTAACTAGTATGTCAGCTGATTGATTCACTGCTTGAACTAGTATTATTTTATTGCATGTGACACAGTTTGAAACCTGTCTTAATTCATGTAATTTCTAGGGGTGTTTACAGCTCATAGATTCCTTCATTATTAGACCGTCGGTAACAAGTGTAGGGTATTATTTTACTCAAGCTTATTTGTTGGTGTAAAAAACACAGAACGACACAGAACAATTTTTAGTTCATATTATTATTTTGTAGTAAATCGCTAATTACGGTACTATGTTGATAGGAGACATGGTATTTGTCAAGTTAGGGATTTTCGTACATAGCTTCTCCACAAAAGATCAAAACCATGCTGATATTACGGTCTATATTTATCATTTAAAATTCTTCTATAATTTGTTAACCATTTAAGTGGCAGTTAAACATAAATAAATTTATCCAGACAATAGTATCGAAACCTCGACTAAGAAGGTAGAGCCTTTTAAAAATTTATTAGCTACTGCTATGTTGTGTCACAAATCTCTTCAATACAAAAAGAACATACGTAGAAACTGAACAGAAAACGTGAAAACTTACAGTTATCGTTTACTGACTCGTTTTCTGAGACAACTGAAGATATCTGACAAAATTTTCTTAATAACCCAATCAATGGCCAAAGTAATAATTTTTTACCAATATTATCATCATTACCATTAATTTTAGAAGATTTCTCGCATAGATCATGCACTGATTTTATGGCAACATTATAAAAGAAATGAGTAACAGCTAATGAATCCGTTTGAGTATTTGGCATGGTATTATTCTTGGCATTAATTATTTCTAACAACTTTATAAACCAACAAAAACAACAAACAAACAAATGATTGAAAAAAAACAAGGGAGAGAATCAGTTATTTTTCTTATAATACAATACGACTTAATGAGCTCACATATAATTTAATTATTCACTACTGTAACTCACTAACCAAGAACAGACTTATACACTCGGCTTTGTGCTGGTGATGATACAACCCAACTGTATAAACCCCATAGTGTTTGAACATAATTACTTACGCCTGTTATTCCCAATGGAGCATAGGCCGCCGATCAGCATTCTCCAACACACTCTTTCCTGGGCCTTCTTTTCTAGTTCCATCCAATTCTTGTTCATTTTTCTCATGTCTAGCTCCATTTCCCGGCGTAATGTGTTCTTTGGTCTTCCTCTCCTCCTTCGGCCTTGAGGATTCCATATGAGGGCTTGTCTTGTGACGCAGTTCGGTGCATTCCTCAATGTGTGTCCTATCCACTTCCAGCACTTCTTCCTGATTTCTTCCTCCACTGGGATCTGATTTGTTCTCTCCCACAGTAGGTTGTTGCTTATAGTGTCCGGCCAGCGGATCTGAAGTATTTTGCGTAGACAACTGTTAATAAACACCTGTATCTTTTGGACGATGGATTTCGTAGTTTTCCAGGTTTCCGCCCCATACAGTAGAACTGTCTTCACATTTGTATTGAAAATTCTGACTTTGGTGTTGGTTGCTAATTGTTTTGAGTTCCAGATATTCTTCAGTTGTAAATATACTGCTCCTGCTTTGCCAATCCGTGCCTTCACATCTGCATCAGATCCACCGTGTTCATCGATGATACTGCCCAAATATGTAAAGGTTTTTACATCTTCCAAAGCTTCTCCGTCAATTGTGATTGGATTGGTGCATGCTGTGTTGTATCGAAGAATCTTGCTTTTCCCTTTGTGTATATTGAGACCTATTGCTGCTGAGGCTGCAGCTATACTGGTTGTCTTTTCCTGCATTTGTTGTTGCGTATGCGATAGAAGAGCCAGATCATCTGCGAAGTCTAGATCATCCAACTGTATCCTAGCTGTCCACTGTATCCCGTGCTTCCCTTCAGATGTTGATGTCTTCATGATCCAGTCGATTACCAGGAAAAAGAGAAAGGGTGAGAGTAAGCAACCTTGCCTGACACCGGTCTTTACTTTGAACGACTTTGTCAACTGTCCTCCATGAACGATTTTGCAGTTTAATCCATCATAGGAATTCTGTATGATATTGACTATCTTCTCAGGCACGCCGTAGTGTCGAAGAAGCTTCCATAGGGTTGTTCTGTCCACGCTATCAAATGCTTTTTCGTAGTCGATGAAGTTGATATAGAGTGATGAATTCCATTCAATTGATTGTTCCACAATGATCCGTAGAGTTGCGATTTGGTCTGTGCACGATCTATCTTTAAGGAATCCTGCCTGTTGGTCTTGAAGTTGGGCGTCTACGGAGTCCTTCATCCTGTTTAACAATACCCTGTTGAAGACTTTTCCTGGTATTGAAAGAAGAGTGATTCCCCTGTAGTTGTCACAGTTGCTGAAATCGCCTCACTTTGGTATTTTGACTAGAAGTCCTTCTTTCCAGTCTTTTGGTACCTGTTCCTCATCCCAGATCTTTCTGAAGAGAGTTTGGAGTATCCTTGCAGTTGCCGCTACGTCTGCTTTCAGTGCCTCTGCTGGAATGCTGTCTAGTCCTGCTGCTTTGCCACTCTTGATTTGTCTGATAGCCATGCTGATTTCTTCAATTGTCGGTGCGCCAACATCAATTGGGAGGTTCGTGAGTGCTGCTTCGATGTTGGGTGGGTTCAGTGGGGCTGGTCGATTCAAGAGTTCTTTGAAGTGTTCTACCCACCTGTTTCGTTGTTCTTCAATGTTGGTGATTATCTTGCCTTCCTTGCTTTTCACTGGTCGTTCTGGTTTACGGTGATTTCTGGAGAGTTTCTTTGTCGTGTCATACAGTTGTCTCATGTTTCCTTCTCTGGCAGCCTTTTCCGCCGTCAATGCCAAATCTTCCACATATTTACGTTTGTCAGTTCTGATGCTCCTTTTCACTTGCTTGTTTACTTCTGTGTATTCAGCCTGTGCCTTGACTTTTTCTGCTCTTGTTCGACTGGTATTGATTGCTGCTTTCTTGTTCCTCCTTTCTTGAATCTTATCCAGTGTATCGACCGTGATCCAATCCTTGTGATGGTGCTTCTTTTGGCCCAGAACCTCATGACATGTTGAAGTGATTGCCTCTTTTATCTCTTTACAGTTGCTCTCCATAGTAGTTCCTTCTCCATTGAGTAGATTATGAAAGGCTTGGAACTTATTGCTGAGGGTTATCTTGAATTTATTGAGTTTGTCATTATCCCGAAGAAGAGCCGTATTAAATTTTTGTGATATTGTCCTCCCCGTTGTCCAGTGCCTCTTGAGTTTCAATTTCATCTTGGCGACCAGCAAGTGATGATCTGATGCTATATCAGCTCCTCTCTTAGTTCTCACGTCCTCCTGAACTTTTTGTTAATGCAGATATGGTCGATTTGGTTTTGCGTAGTGTGATCCGGTGAAGTCCATGTGGTTTTGTGTATGCATTTGTGTGGGAATATCGTGCCGCCTATGACCAGTTTATTGAAGGCACATAGATTTGCAAATCCCTCACTATTTTGGTTGCTTTCCCCCAGTCCGTGTCGTCCCATGATCTCTTCATATCCGGTGTTGTCAATTCCAACCTTGGCATTTAGGTCTCCCATCAGAATAGTCAGGTCTTTTGTTGGGCACTTCTCGACGATTGACTGCAGCCTATCGTAGAATTGATCTTTAGCGTCTTCATTGTAGTCATTGGTAGGCGCGTAGCATTGGATGACGTTCATTGTAATCCCCATTTTCTTTGTTTTGAAGGAGGCTTTGATGATCCTTGGTCCATGAGATTCCCATCCTATAAGTGCATTTTGTGCTTGTTTGGACAGCATCAATGCAACTCCTTGTGTATGTGGGGCATTTTCTTCTTCATGTCCGGAGTATAACAGCAGCTCCCCTGAAGCTAGTCGTTGTTGTCCAACTTGCGTCCAATGTGTTTCACTGATCCCAAGCACCTCTAAATTGTATCTCCTCATTTCTGCAGCAATTTGGAAAACTCTCCCAGTCTCCCACATTGTGCGAGCATTCCATGTACCTAAATAAATGGTTGCTCTGGTTGTCAGAGGGGGCATCGGCCTCGTGACTTCCGAAGAAACTCGGCTTTCATCATGACGCGTCATAATTCTTCTAAACGAAGACCTGACTCCCAGGGCAGAGTTTAAATGGTTTGAATAATTTTTTCGAGTTAGTTTTCTACGGGATGGGGTCGCTAACCCCATGCCCAACCCTCCTCCATTATCCGGGCTTGGGACCGGCAGTAGCCCCCGGAAAGGGACTCCAGGCGGAGTTGTGTTTGAACATGCGACTGACAATATACTGTGTGTTTAAGAGAAAGTTCAACGAAATTTAGAGTATATGGTAATAAGTACTTAATTCATATCAAACTACTACCTAATCAAAGTAGGTGAGATGAGAACCTCTTAAACAGCATAAGATACATAACTAATTACTGTTACATGTAGCCATCCTTTGTGTTGAACAAGTTGTAAATTAGCACTATGAGGAACACGATGAGACAAAATGCTCAAAAAGTCCCAAGTATTGTAATAGTCGATGCATTTTGTTAGCTATGATAATCTGACGATACTGCACATGAATTTAAGCATTCAGTTTTCAAAACAGATGTAGCAAAGACGTTTAGACAGCATGTTACAGATGATTTCATGATTCATCGAAAATGAATGCACGATATGAAGACTGTTAAAATGAATGAAGAGAATACTGATCGACAGATAATATGTAATGAAAAGACTTAGCTGAGTAATGGATACTCAAGAGACAATTTAACTAACTAAGAAAACCCGAATAAATTGATATCAAAGATAAAACTACTAACAAGAACAGATCCTTGTTCTAATGAAACATGATTATATATATAGAAAGTAATAACGCAGAAATAAACATGATTAGATATCGCAAACAATAGAAGGATATCAGTTGTGTAGGCCACTTGCTTGCCACTGAATTAAGATCTGCTTTTTAGGCCTAAGTCTTGCTTATATTATCACAGCACCGTTGATTTTTATACAATAAGTAAGGTCCACAGTTTAGTGCATTTTATGCATTATTATACCTACCTTATTATGAGTAAATATAGTAATCAGGTGACTAAAATGACTTAAGTGTAGTTGTATCTGAAACTACAACTATACGTAACAGACAAAACTCTACAAAAGTTACTAGAAGTGAAGGATCAAAATAGATGCTGATTAACATCTCTTTTCCTATTAATACAAACAACGTTCACAGATGTGGCAGATACCTGAACAGAAACCAATGAAAAATATTTTTCATAACTTGATCCACTGGCCAAATCATTCGAGGAATTATGAAGAAATTCGGGGATTGTTGTTAAAATATTCGTCAATGTTGAAATCATTTTTGGTTGAATACGTGGATCAATCGAAGTGATCGGACCAGTCGAAGGTAATATCCCAGGACAAAGAGACAGAGAAGCTAGTAACAAGCTTCTAACACCTAAATTTTGGGCATCTTCAGATTTTTCAACATTCGTATTACTTATAACTGGATGGACCAACAAACGGGATAGTACACGACCACAAGATTTACGTAACCAGATTGGTGCTTTGGGTAACTGAACAGCTCCCTTAATTTGAACAGCAAAGGAATAGATTAACAAAACTGCTGTTAATGTACAATAGATCAGTTATTAATCGACAGTTTAGCTGCCAAACAATAACAAATTATCTACTGAAAAAGTGGTAAACTGTAATGCGTCAAAACATTTATACCCGGGGACAATCTTAAGAAAAAAATCACTCAGAAACGATCATCAACTAACATTAAGAAAAACTACCAAAGTAATGAGAAAATGTTTAGAAGTTCAAAAGCTGGGTAGTGGATAGTTGAGGGAGACTAAGTATCCACTTACCTCCTTACTTATTTAAAAAACAAGCACCTGTGCAAATAGGCATTAAAATAAATATGCTACATACAAATAATTAAATGAAATTGTGAGATAAAGGAAGGATGAGGAGTTATAAAGCTCGGTTTTTCTTCGTCTTTACGAATGGAACGTTAATTTGTCTTAGACGAATATCTACACTAGATTCCCTCCCAGTATCTATTCCATAGGATTTCAACACAATTCAGATTAGGAACACGTAATTAGCCTGATTAAAACGTAAATATATTTCCACACCAAAAACCGATAACAATCTGACACAATCCAACAACCACTAATAGTAATAATAATAAGGATAGGAGAATATATAACTTATCTAACGCCTATCAGACTATCTACAAGTCTAAGCAAGCAACCAATCATTATCGTTTTCGCCTACACATCAATGAGTGAGAAGAGTTTGTAGTAAGAAAAACAGTTCAGTTCATGAAAAAATACAGCCAAGAAAAATTTGCTCACTTAAAGGAATTCCTCTTATTATCATGAATGCAAAAGAAAACTGCAGAAAAATCGCTCTTGTTTTTATTCTAAGATATATCTGGTAACGTTTCAAGCCATCATTTTTAAAACTTTAACTAGACAATGGTGACAGATCGGCGGGTGTCAGTGATATACAGTTTTTTTTCATAGTACGGCACCATATCGTAAACAGTGGCTTAATGATAAATGCGCAAGCCCACTTCACCTACTATAGTTTGAGCAACCAGGTATTTTCATTAGCCCTTACATCTGGCGAATGAGTTAATGAACTTGTTTTTTTAATTCGTCATAAACTGACTACTTCTGTTTTTCCCATTTCGTTGTAGCACCCACAAACAATGAATGACGTAGAAACCAGTGGAATGACATCCTTAACGTATGTCCGAACCGGAGAAGCCCATGTCTCAAGATAGTGACAGCGACTGAATTATCGTCACTGTGCCCTAATATACAATTGTCCCATATTAATTCCAAAGGAGGAACCATAATGGACGAAAATGAATGATCACTAGCTACATTGTCAGAATCATTTTTATCCTAGAATAATTATTTGCTGTTTGACAAGTAGCCCAGTTATACTATCTTGGCTGAATATTTTGTATATGAATGATAGCTGCTAAACAGCTCTAACTTCCGGTAGCTATTTAACGAAAACTTCGGGATAGATCTTGTTATCAAGTTATGAGTCCGATCACCTTAATTATTTCCATATTTTATTAAATTGATGTAAATTTTGTAACGACTCACTAAATTTAAGACTGAATGCAAGAGATGAAATAAAAATTTCATGAAACGACTGGAAGCTGAACAGTGGAAGTGTTACATCAGAATATACTAGTGCATCAAGTCATCTTGGGCACAACCAATAAAATCATAAGACTAAGGCTAGAAGAGTTTGCAGTTGTTGTTTCGAAATGAAATGATCAGCGATCAACACAATTCTGTTTTCCTATATAAATAATCAAGGCAAGGTATTATTATACACGGTATTATCGATTTTATTCGTAATTATAGTTACCTTTTTCCTGACGTGTTCCCACTAATTCATTATTATTTCTTGTTCCTTGACATCTATATAACTGTCCTATTTACTTCCTTACGCCTGTTACTCCCAATGGAGCATAGGCCGCCGATCAGCATTCTCCAACACACTCTTTCCTGGGCCTTCTTTTCTAGTTCCATCCAATTCTTGTTCATTTTTCTCATGTCTAGCTCCATTTCCCGGCGTAATGTGTTCTTTGGTCTTCCTCTCCTCCTTCGGCCTTGAGGATTCCATATGAGGGCTTGTCTTGTGACGCAGTTCGGTGCATTCCTCAATGTGTGTCCTATCCACTTCCAGCACTTCTTCCTGATTTCTTCCTCCACTGGGATCTGATTTGTTCTCTCCCACAGTGGGTTGTTGCTAATAGTGTCCGGCCAACGGATCTGAAGTATTTTGCGTAAACTGTCTTATTTAATGCATGAAATTTCCTTACGATTAGATTTCCTGAATTAATACTTTTGTTGAACAAATATGATGAAGAAAATAATAAGTTCAAGCTGTATCAGAATAATGGAAAACAATAGTTGTATACATTACAATTAAGCAATAAACTAACCTTAACACGAATATGTGTACCACCTTGAAGAATCATTAATTCTTTCATTGCAATGTGACGTGGTAGCTCAAGCAACAGTTTCCAAAGAATTTTTCGAGACTCACGAATGTATGCCATTAACGAAGAAACTCTTTCAGAAGTGAAATCATTACTTCGTAAATATGAATCCATTCCGAAAGCACATTGAAATAAACTTGCAATTAAATCACCCAAAAATGAAGTGGTGCTGACTAATCGTTGTAACTGAAAAGATTTAGACTCTCTCAAGCAAAGCAGACACTTGATAATCTATATAGTAAATAATATAAGATGTAACGAACAGTTGTTTTGTTTGAAGACAAAGATAATCGAAAAAAGTGTCATAGTGTTATTTAAAGTGAGAAAATAAGTTTGGTGTATCGCGCTGGTAAATTTATTACATTACGATAATAAATACTTGTAGTAGAAGTCGAGTTGGTGCAATTTAGTTATCAAGTACGAATTTATGCATGCAATGTTTGACAATACTCGGTTAGAAAAATCACGTAGCTACGTAAATTAAAGCAGAAAGTGTGGGATACGCACATGTAACTCATTTGTCCAACCAAGTACTTACTTATATCATTGAGCTGCTGTTTAGAACACAAATGTCGTTAAATGTTTTTACAGTTTTCCAAAAAAACTTGCTTGTCAAGAAAGAGTTTATCACATGAACACTCAATCAAGATAAAGCTCTAATAAGAACAAATAACAATTTTTGATAAAAACCAAACTCCGAATGTTAGGTTTAACTAAACTGCTCTAATTTATTTGCAGAAATCTTGAACTAAAACTCAAAAGAAGTTTAATTAGCTCCCTTGCCATCAATAAATTTGTGCTTTTTCATTGAACTTACTCTTGCTTTTAAAAGTAATCGTACCTAATGAAGCTCTAAGTTAAATCATTCGAATATACACAATTAGCCATAATACAGTTACTTAAAAATTGAATTTATCAGCTGATTGGGTATGAGCCAAACTCCAAATGCGAGCGCTAATGATACTACACGGCTGCACAAACCTTAGTAGGTGGAGAAGGATTGGAACATGGAACCGAGTGGCTAAGAGTCGGACACCTTAACCACTAAGCCACCACTCCATTATTTTGATTCGTCTGACAGTCATTTTGTTAATTTCATCTCGTCAAGCTGTGGTATGAGATGGTGCTATTTTATTTAAGTATGATGCGTTTTTAGTCACTTATGTGACTATGTGACTAAATACAGATTAGTGTACTGAGCTTCGAGCAAAACCTTTTGTGTGAAGGCTAGTGATACTGACCGGCAGCTAGAACGGAGGAGTTCGATCTAGTAATAAATTGGTTGAAAGTCGATTGCCGTTGTTATGTAGACAGCAAAGTTGGAAAATGAGGTATATGCTTTAATTACTGTATTTGTTTAGATGAGTATTCAAATAGCTTGATCAACCCACGTTAAATACATTTTTAATATTTTGAGACTAAATGGTTGTGCATGAGTTGTGACTGCAACTCTGGCTACTAGTAAATGATTATCATTACATTAACAGTGCTTAAATATGATACAACGAGTTGGTAAAAAATGCTGAAGAATATATGATGTTAGGAGAGAAGTAAACCACAATATCTAGTGATGAACATTTAACTAATGACTTAGTTGATTCAAGCTTCAACGATAATATCTCTCCTGAAAGCGTAGTCCTAAATAAGACACTTATAATACTTAAAATACGGAACGGCAAAAAAATAGGAAGGTGCTGACTCCCTATACTAATTAAAACGAGTCACTGGCTCTCATGGTGAAATAAAATCATTATGTGATAATCTAAGATTCGACAAATGTGCATAAAATGACAAAAGATGAAAATTAGCTTATTCTACATTCTAGTCAGATATTTACAATTAAACTTATATATACTTTGCATATTATTTAAGCTCAAGATATTTCTGGCATAAATCGACAACCAGTAAACGCGTTCATAAACGACTCACAATTACCTTCATCAGTTTTTCAATTCTTTCTTCATCTTTTTCCTTCCGAGGACAGATGAACTTTTCAGTATTTTCCAAACGCATACTTAAGGGCAACGAAACTCCGGTTTCTAAAAGCGGATAAACGCCAAATGCGACAACAAATTGAAGGCATGAAGACAACTGTTTTTCCTGAAACACACTGAAAATAGGAATATCAGTGCTACTGTTGGTTGCATTGTTTTCATAAAAGTCATTACAAGCGCAGAGAAAATTAAGACAGCAATAATAAAATGCCTCATGAACTTCTGTGCCATTAAGGTCAAACAGTAAGTTTTCATCATTAGACTTTTGTACATACGCTTCAACTCCTTCACGAAGTCGAATACAAGGATCCGGATCGGAGAAGTCAGATGATGGGAGTAGGGATGTAAGTTGACCAAACAATAATCGCAATTTATCCATAACGAGATCAAAGGTAGGCACCTACATGGAAATTAAAAAAGAGCACACTAAATACTATGAGTTTCAAAACTAATATGAAATATAAAGGATTACATAGCTTTTCACAAGAATGTTAAATATACAGCCATAGTCAAACATACTTTGAGTTTATAGCTCACTGCAAAATCGCTATTTCCATTACTGAGTTAACTTTGGCAATCACATGTTATTTATTTTCGAGATCTTTGGGAGCGATCTGTTACAGATATATACTTAGCAGACTCCATACACCTTTCAGGCAGAGAATAAAAACTTTTTACACAATAAACCAACCAAACAGAGTACATGATTAACATACATGAAACAAAAGTCATCTGTACTAGCACCAAGCCAACGGGCAAGAAGTAGCGTCCGAATGTAGAAAATAAGTCTGAGTCGAGTATAGATATTAAAAATAATAGACATGATTCTGGATAAATACTCGTAACTTAGCAATTTATCACAATTGGCTACTATCCGCCTTAAACGTTAAACTGGATGCAGCAGTGACAGAACAGGAAATAAAAAACAATGTACTGAGAGAGCAATATTAAATAAAATCAAATACCTGTAGCCCACAACCCCATCTTACAAACAAGGGAAAATCCTATTACAATATACTGAATAAAATTAGGGGAAAAGCAATTTTAAACCTCAAAATTAGGACTGAGCTGGAGTTTTCCCTCAAATTAAGTTGAAATCTAGAAGTAACATATAAAACGTTGTGAGACTTTTGCAGTTGTCCCCACTATTTCCATACAAGTTACATAAGCCTAATCAAATTCACTGCAAAACTACGACAATTTCCAATCGTTTAGGAGAAAGCCATGAATTATTTATAGTTTGGATAAATCCCGTAGTATTCATCATTGTACTGGAAAAATCACCTAAATTTCCACTGGAAAGAAACGTATTTTTTCCACTGTTAGCAAATGAAATCGCGTCATTTTGCAAACCTAACATTTAAAGAAATATTTGCCCACTTACAAGGCAGTTTCTAAGATGCTTCGTTCTTCATATATTTTTAATCGAAATTCCAAAGGAAAACAATCTACAGAGCAAGTGTTCTTGTCCTTCACAACGATAGATGAGCTCCTAATGTATGGATTCAATTTACTGACATGGTTCGACAGATCACTTGTGGAAAGCTGATATTACAAGTGCGTGACCCGTCGGCGTAAAAATAGGCTGAGTGGTTCAGAGGTTAAGCGTTCGAAGGTCCTGGGTTGGAATCATGCGTCTGTGACCGCGTACTGCTGAAGAGTCCCATACCAGGACGAAACGGCCGTTTCGTGTTTCCAGGTTTTCGATGATGGCCTAACAATGATTGATTCATGACCTCAATCAAAGTAAAAAAAGGTGTTAGTGGAACTTACTCGTTAACAACACCGCGAGAAATATATGGAAACACATGAGAAAATGCTTGAAGAACTAAGGACTTTAGAAGATGCATTGCAAGACGGAAATTCAGAGGTCAGTTCATCAGTTCCAACAGTTGTTTAGTAAGAATGATGTGATAAAATTATAGGAAGTAATTAGGAGTAATCTTAATAAGTCCATAAAAACGACTTTAGTTTACGTTAGGACAGCTAACCTGGCAATTAATTACATTTCATATGAGACTAAAAGTGAAATGGGAATAAGCGATTATAGATCTTACAGAAGGATTCAAAGTTAAAATTAGAATAAATATTATTGGTTATGTATTTTATGTTCACGTTTTCAAAGTGCATCCTGTTACGAAAAATACATCAGACGAAAGATGGATGCTGGGACCCGAGCTTTCTTTCACAACTCACGAGATAAGTACACAAGCATGTATGGTGATCCAAAGACAACATAAAAGTTACACAATAAGAATGGGTTATTCAATATATATATATATATATATATATATATATATACAATTTTTGGTTAGAGGTAGGATTACCACAAGACTTTTATTTAACAGCAATCGTCACAGACCTGAAAGATTGTAGTACATACACTTTTTATTTGGTCGGAAAAATCATACTCATTTACCAAATCAGTCAGCTACAACGTAGGACCAGGCACATATATACATCGGTCCAAGTTGCCACACCTCATTAGCACAACAAAATCAACACCAAATTCATAGACGCAGTTACCTCAATGACAGTAAAAAACCAACATTTCATATAAGGATATGATACAGAGAGAAGGAATTAACCCGTAGAAAGAAAGGTACAAAGTGATTTTAATCTCACGGTTTAAGTGAAAACGAAGAGTATATACACCTATACTATTGTGATCGATTCTGAGTCATGTCACACAGAGTCTTCAACCATTGGTTACGATAGCCGAACGGACCCCAACCAGGTAGTCTGCATCTATCAACATGGCTCAGATTAGAAGTTAGTGACTTCAAGGACTGATTCTGTGTTATAGTTTAGTCACCCCAAACTTTCTGACAACTGTCCCCAACACTAGTCGGCATTGTGCGTCGTGGTAATTGGTGTTTAGGCATACGTTATGTAGAAATCACTAGTTGAAGTATAGTTTCAGTAGTGCGACTGGGAAATATGGATAAAGAAAATCCACAATGAAACAAACAAAAAGCGAAACGCCACAAGATGTCGATAGTCACGACCTGAAAACCCGGATAAGAACGTTACTGTTCGAAGTACCGATGCGGCTCTCTCGAGTGACGGGAAATGGACGACAATGCAGAAATAAAGGAAATAAAAAGGCCACCAACGGCGCTTGATTGGTTGATAAGTCTTTGGAAGACTACCACTCATAGCCACATAACATTCTACCAAAATTCCCAAATGAAATTCGAGTTGACCATAGTGCTTAGAAAAAGGTTAACCTAATCTAACACTACTGTGAGTAGTTTGCTAGAATCGACTGACCCAAAAACCAGACACATGACTTGGGAAAGGCTGGAAAATATATTTGCAGCATCTTTCCAGATAACTATAGAAGTTCAAATAAAAAATCGATAATTGGTAAGAGAACCGAAGAAAATGTTGAACCCCGACCATGTAGACTTCTTTTCTTAACCAGCGCTCGGAACAGAGATAACACCGACATTCGAGAAAGACCTAGCATGACTCTAGAAGATAGAATAAAGAGGGAGGCATTACCAAGACCTGTATGGATAAGTCGTTGTGTTTAACAGTTTTTTCTACAAATACTCGTAGTCTGCAACATAAACTTCATGAACTAGGATATTAGTAGACGGATTAAAGACACTTATAAAAGCTTTGATCGGAACTTGGATAGTCCATGACTGGCGTCACTCCAGGATTATTAGAATACAACTACCTAAGGAATAGATAGGAAAGGGGCTGGGGTTCGTAAGGAGATAGCTAATAATATAGACTTCCGTTCCTTTATTTGTAAATCTCATGACAGTGGAACTTGTCAAGTCACTAGCAGAGAAGGTTGTACATTTATACTCGGTGTCATCTATCATAGCCCAATTTGCTTAGCTGATAACTTTATTTGTGTCCTTTCACATAGCTTAAAATAGTCATACGAATAGTCTTTTCCATTAGTTTGACGGTACTTGGGAAGCGTCATAGATGAACAAGGAGGATCAGATGCAAACGTAAAGGCGAGGATTGGGAAAGCAAGGGCCGCATTCCTACAATTGAAGAATATATGGAACTCGTTTTTTCCAACAACTTCGGACAGAAACAAGTGACTAAAATAGATCCGATACGATTGCTCGTCAGTCTTACTTATAAAAGTATTTATGTTGTTGGCCATTCATTGGTTTGCTTTAAAAGTAAAAACGAAGAAATCCGTAACCAACTCTTACTTTCGACAATCTTGCATATGGCTCATATACCCAACTGGCGTACTCTACAAGAGAACGGTTGAAAGCGTGTTGAACGGCTCAGTTTGCGGACTAAAAGCTGTTTCATTCAACTGTGCCGTTACTTTGTTAACTGATTTACGCGCTCAAAGTACAGACGCTTACATCCTAATATAGAGGTTAGTAAACTGGAAAAATGAATAATTCTTTAAGTCTTTGACATTGATACTGACCTCATTAGTTTTACCGGACACATGCTAGCTAAAGGTGTTCAATCAAACGTCCGCACCAAGTCACGAGTGGGTACGCAGTGCTGTAAGTCTCTCACAACTACCAGTCAACTTGGACCAAACGCTTCTTGACATATCGATAGCTTTCCACGGATATTCTTGGACCTCCTCAGTTCTAACTTCTGATTTGAATGAATGGGTGTACCTCCGTAATAATAGTATTACGTGTAAAGGCGTTGTCCAATCTCGAATACCTGTGGCATTTTTAGTGGTGAGTCCTACGTCAGCCTGCACACTAAACAGTAAATTGTTCTTGTTATGAAGTTACCTATCATTTTTAGCTTATAATTTTGCATATAGTGATATTGTTCTATATTTGGGATATTTTTTCGCCCCTTTGTATATCTTATCTTCATTATGACGGAATAGACACCTAAGCTGTTTAAGACTAAGAATCTTTCGCCTTCCTCCTTTCAACTCAGGCAATTCTGGTGCGATAATATAGAAGCCTGGTCCTGCTATACAGAAGCTGACTTTCACGAGAATGTTGTGTGCAATTTCTAACAGATGTAGGGGCACTACCAAGCACATGAAAAGCCTTAGAAAGTGAACAGCCCTTGTACATGGTCCCTAAAAAGGACAGTAACAATTAGTGCCAACTACTGATTATCGGCGGCTATATACGGAAACAATTCCCGATCATTACCCTTTGTCACACATCCATGACCTGACAGCTACCTTATATAGTGCAACTGTTTCCTTGAAATATAAGAACGTTCGTCTAAATTTGATCGAATAGTTTCACAGTATTTGGGCGCCAAGTTAATGTGAGACATCAAAGCGGAAGAATGTACTTTTAACACCTCAGCAAATGAATTTAAAGTAAATCCAACGTTTTGCCTGGCTATCTGGTTCAAGCATTTTCAGGTAAATATAGTCAGGCATCAAAATTATAGAATATAAATAAGTACATGGTTCTCTGATTCACTGTATTCTAAATAGGTCAATCCAATCAGCGTTAACAATGTTTAACGTAGGTAATTACTATGTCAGAGACCTGTGGTATGGAATGGTACGATAATGACAAGTAACTCATATATTTTTTACGTACTCGTTTTTGAGTTCTTCTAGCTCGTCTTTTCTGTATGTCTTGGAGAATTGTCTGAATTAATGTATTTTTATAAATGTATTGGTCCGTAACAATATGCGTTAGTTGTTTTTTGTTTTGTTCTGCTCTGTCAACTATAGTACTCAGTTCGGCGCTATACAATTTGCGTTCCACAGCAGTTCCTGTCGGACGACCATAGTAAGTCGCGACTAAACTACATTAGTCTGATAAATCAGCGTAATAACAAACAGATTTCTTTGCCGTCTTGTCTTTATGTTGGTAAATGATTCCATGAAGTAAGTCAAATAATATATAGTGGGTGATTTAGAATTTATTTATCTAATCACAGACGAAAAATCTTGGTAGGTTAACATCTGGGTCAGTATTAGGCGCAATTTGATGACTGTGGGTATTGTGTTTTATGTCATACATAAAGTACTTAGCTAAACAGCATGTGCAAGGCTGAATTGTCTGCTGGCAAATACCCATATGATGATAACCCATGTGTATTCCAGACACAGCCCAAAAAGGTTTCAAGCTGAATCGCTTGAATTAGTTCGCACTAATACAATAGTCACTCATGTCAGTTACACACTGGAAAATACAGCAGTTAAAGTGGGGATTGTCAACGAAGCAACAACGCAAAACAGCCATATAGTTGGACTCATTACAGCTATAGAGTATGGTACATCCTGGTAAATCTCTATTACAGCACTTACAATATATTACATGGATACATAAAAAAGTTAGATTTTTCTTGAATTGGCATTGTTTATAAAATTTGTTTTCTTTCTTGCTTCTATTAGCTTAAGTTCGCAAAATAACGGCTGACGATGCAGACAATTATATGATACATGACGTAAAAACAAGTTTAGGTCATTAATAAAAATCTTTGCGAGGCACTGACTAATCCTTCAGGTATGACTTCTGTTTCGGTAGTCAAACGAATGAAATATAGGGTAATCATTTATCGATGGACCTTTCATACAAACTAATAGTAAGCATAAAGTTCCTGATTGACACAAGCTGCCTAGCCTGTGGTTAATAAAACTGCTCTGAAACAAGGTACCCGCCACACTGCATTATAAATATGTAGATGGATTACAAGATAATCCAAAATATATGTAAATAATGTCATAAAAATCATGACTTAGACGCACGAAATTTTACGAGACGGTGTAAATGATGAGCCTTCTAAATACGATACTTCTGCAAATGTGTAACAAGGATTATAATAAGACAAGAACACGAATGATATATGTCAGGTACAACAGGAATAATGTCAGTCTTCGTAAGCTAACGCTGTTCGCTTCGATTTCAAACTTAAATATACGGTTTAAAAGATTAGTGAATTATTTTCGTTAGCATCTTTATTTTTAAAATTTTATCCAACACTTTCAACTTTCCATAACTAATTGTCAAGCAATGTAAGTGGACGGTAGCGATGAATTTTGAAGTCGATATACTTATTTAATAAGGTAGAGTCGCAAAAATATGGTGCTCATGAACGTACATCGCGTTGGTAACCAAACTACTGATCGTTTTCCAGATGAAACTTTACTGGTGTTAGGTCCGAATGCCACATAAATTCAACTCAGTTAATTAACAAGTCATAACCTGGATTCCCGATCAAAAACGAGTTAAGTAAAAATGCCCGAAGTTCAGCTAATGGATCATTTTTTGACGAATTTATTATCAAGCTGTGTAATAGTGTAATATGAAAAACTATAATGGCTTAGCATCGTTAATCAATCATCTTTACAACCGTTATTACATAAACCCGAACGGTATTTGAAATCAGAAAGCAATAAAAAGAGGCAACTACAGTTTGTCAGTAGATAATACGGATAACAAAGCTACAAGCACAGCGAGCTAATTTGAAGCGGAGAGGCAAATATGTGCATGCGAGCAATCACATAGACAAATTTTTAGTCAAATCGAATAAGGCTCAGCAATTCAAGGAAAGGGATAATAATAAAATTCGAGTACATATATACATGGAAAGGAGAATGACTCATCGAGCGATATTTATGGTATTATTGTTTTCACGATGAATATATATTTAATCACCATTTAATCAAACTTTCGTCAATTCAAATGCAGGCCTTGTCATCAGATCTGGGATGCCATAATAGCATTTATAAAACCAATAGAATCCATATGAAACTACAAACAAAAAACTCACACAAATCAAACTCAAGATCTCGTTCTAATATCTTCACTTGAATTACAACATTTCAAATTTACAATGCTTGGTGGCTGTTATGGATACAGTAACGCAAATCTTAGTCGTAATAAATGATTAACAAAGAGTTATATGAATCAAACAATTCGCCTGAAAAGAAACAAGATAAAACTCTAAGTCAATCTCGCAAACTCATCGACTGTCAAGAATAATTAGATCAGATGCTTTAAGAAGGATGATAACGCCGGACTATGGTGATGAGGATGCCACAGGTATTCGGAGTTTGACAACACTTTAACCAGTAACACCTTCTAATACGAAGCGCACCCACCAAGTAAAATCAAAAGACAGAAGTGAGGGGATCGAAGATATATTTGATAAGCTATCCATATATCGAGGATCGTTTGCCCTAATCTGGCTAGCGATTGAGGCAGATGTTGAGCACGGCGTTCCCACACGTGATCTGGTGCGGATGCTTGACCGAGCGCCTTCAGCTAGATGAGTCCACTAAAACTGTGGTCAGCATCCAATGTCGAAAACTTACAGAGCTATTTGATTTTGGGAAATTATTTACCGCTACAGACCACTCCCCCTCTAGTGGGGTAGTGATGACCCTAAGACGTGGCCAGCCAGAAGTTTAAACCCAAGGAGTTTTTCGTTGGTAAGCACTCTTCTGATAGCTTGCTAGGTTTAGCAGCGTCTGGTCGTCTTTCCTTATTATAATGGACCATGATGTACAATATAGTAAAAAAAGGTACAATGCACATTTTCGTTTCTCTCAACTTCATCGTTCTTTTCATCGTCTTTTCCAGTCGTCCTAGAAAAGAAAACAAAAATATGTAAGTGCATGTCGGAATACACTCGTACGCGCGTGAAAAGGAAAACAAATTCATGCTCACGTAATAGCGTAAAAAAGAATTCCTATAATATAGTTATTTTTTGTTTTTTCTTTTTTGAAATAAAAAAATAATAAAAATATATAAGCATATTAAATTCGGGTTTTTTAAAAAAAATTAGATATAGTAAAAGGGAAAATCGAGAGAATAGAAAATGTTAACTTGTGTCTTACGTGCAGCAATCGTTCAAATGTTCTGGAAATCTTACTCTTCTTCCAGAACGCGTAGTTTCGAGTTTATTTTTTGATACCACCGAAGTATCAACGTGTGTGTCGGCTGTCGATTGAGGAGTTATAAAGGCAGGAGTTGTGTCGTGAGATTGTATTGAAGGAAAATCGACGTGAATAGGATTTCCTTCTAAATACGCTGCTTTGAGGCGATCGATACTGATGCTTTCGTTGGTTCCGTTCTTATCGATTATATAGTACCTAGATTCGCATTGAAGAACTTTGAAAGGTCCTTCATATGTTGATTCGAGAGGTCGTCTATGCGAGTCTTGAGGTACAAAGACGTGTCTACTATGTCGTAAGTCAGGTTGAACGAAAACATCAGTTGATTGTAGTCGAGTGGAAACAGGTTTAGCTGAACGCATTGCGTTTGTAAGCCTGTTCGTGTAGGAGGTTAGATCCATGTCCATCGAAGAGGATGAAGGATCCACGAACTCTCCTGGAAGTAGAAGGGTCGTACCATAAACGAGTTATGATGCAGTGTATCCAATGTCAGATTTCACTGCATTGCGTGTGCCTAGTAAGACGA